CAGCAGCATTCACTTGAGACAACTATAACTAAATACGGGGAAAAATGGAATCTAATATTGCAGTTGCCTCAGATAAATACTGTGCCTGATCACACGGACACAATGTGTGTTTTGAAAAGAGCGAGTCTATTTCTCCCCTCACTGTTAATGTATTTAAAAGAAACAGGACACTTAGTATTCTGTCCAGTAGAGGGCTCCATATCTATTTTATACTGTAGAATCATAATACACTTTATTTAGAAAATACAAAACTACAAGAATCTGATTTAAGTTTTCAATAGACTTACACACAGTGCCTCCACTCTTTGGATGTACAGGAAAACAAATAGTCCATCGAAGTTGCACAGATATGCAATACATTTTAATTGATATAGTACATTGCAATATGTGACTGTAAAATATGTGAATGTAAATGCAGTAGATCTTGTGGTATTGCAGGGTAAATATAATGATATTATGATATTGTTCGGTAACATAATATGGCTGATTTAACAGTTCATGAGTGTGATGGCTGTGAATGTGGGGTGTTAGTATCACTATATTCAATTTGCATTCATGAGAATCAACTGAAGTATTTAATTGAAAGTTTAAAGAGTAAGAGTTTAGTTTTCTTTCAAGCTGTTTTGTGGATACAGAGGAGATGAGTTAGTGATATTTAGCAGAAATCTTCATGTTAGGATCAACATGCTGTCAAAAGTCATTCATTGAAAAAATGTGTGAGACGAGACGAGTCTTTCCTGTTTGTATTACACTGTTTTTAAGATTTTAATGATTCCTCTTATGTTTCAGTCATATTTTTGCTGTGTGGATCTATTTATCGATGCTTTTTAGGGGAAATTTTATGAGATGAATGCTTTGCCAAGTTACAAAGCACATAAAACTGTATCATTTGATACATTAAAAAATTATCTTAATGCTCAATAATGTTGACGAAGTGGATGCAGACTTAGAAGTTTTATGTTTCAGTAAAATCATCAGTAGTGACAGCAACAATCGCCCACTCTGCAAGTGACTGGATGATCCAATACACATTCACAATCGGGTGACTTCCTGCCGATAGTTTACCTCACATTCAGTTCTTATCTAAACTGTAAACCCCCACAGCCAGAAACTCAAACTTCCAGCTCGTGTCTGCACATAAACAGGTTTATTTCACCATAAATGGCAGATTTACTGGTGTTGCTTAAATGTTTATTGCTTCTGACGTTCAAATTACAGAATAAAAACTAAACTCAAATTCAGACGATGGCTGCCCACTGGTTGCTGACTCACAGCGTTTCATAATGTCCTGCAATGTCTGGTTTGTTAATATGAAAATGGAATCTATTTTTATTCTCTTTTGCTTGAAAGCAGAAAGAAAACCGGGTAAACTGGCCAACATCAGGCCTTGTTGATCAGAGAGCAGAATAAAAATCTTGTCAGCCTTGTTGTACAAAAACAACTCAAATTTCATCCAAAACAGTAAATAAGTCTGTGTCTGTGTATCGTCTGCGGGGAAGGTTTGAGCAGTTTAGACGTGCAGCATTAAAAGCAGCTTTTACTGCATCAGTGGTTTTACACAAGAGCCGAGGACAGTGGAGCCACTCCCAGCCTCAGAGTTGGTTGGTGGGATCCATCTCTCGCAGCTCTCACTTCAAAACCGCTGATTGTACCGGACAGCTGTGAAAACAATATGCAAAACCGCACGAGAGCAGCATGTGCCGCCCTGTGTCTCGAATCTGCGAGGAGTTAGGAAAGAGGGGACGGGGGTGGGGGATCAGTGACGAGTAATAGAGTTCACAACACTGGAAACAAATTTAAGAGACAGAGCAGAAGGAGACGGATAATGAGGTGACTATTTTTGAAGAGACGCATGAGGCTCGCCGCCCCCTTGTCCAGACATTTGTTATATACTTCATTACACACCACTGAGACATGACTAACAGCAGCAGACAGAGTATTATAAATTACCTTGTAATCTACATCGTATCGTCATGAAAAGCATTCATGGAGTGTGTATATGAATGTAGGATTTTAAGTTTAATAAATGTCCTTTTCAAAGATTATATTACAAAAAACCTACATGTAATTGAGGTGTTTTATTAGCTGTGGTTTTATGATAACCAACCCTGAGACTGCTGTCGCCATCCCGATACGAAGTTGGTGAATACTATTATGTTTGTGGTGTTTTGAAAAAACCAACAGCAGCTTTCATTTCCAGAAATAATAAAACACTTTAAAAGAATATTTCATATGGAGAACTCTCAAACAGACAATATAGAGACATACTTAAACTTGAGTTCTCATGTGTTCGTGATATGCTGCAGCATGGAGGAGGCACACACAACGTCCAGTCTCAAACTACAGTAAAACTTCTTACATCAATGTTTTTGTTGGCAGTGGCTTGCTATTTTTGCTGTATTGTAACTGCAAAAATCCATTTACAGCAGAGGGGAGTTATTTCTGGGCAGCAACAGTGACTCTGTCGAAACAAAGTGATGCATGTGTGTTTACTGAGGGATTTACAGTTTGTGCAATTAATTTTGATGAACGGCAGTGGGGGGAAAATGGAGCAGAGAGAAGAGATGGGTGGGAAAGAAGGGAGGGAAGAGAGAGATGGGGAATTCAGCTCTGATAGACTTGTTATGATGAAAACAAGAAGAAAAAATAAATAGAAATTCAGAGAAATCAGAGCAGAATTCCGAGTAAGGGGCAGGTGGATGATAGGTGAACTGGTCAATGTGATTTCAGGCTTGTTAGTGTCAGGCTGATGATGAGACTTGCAAATGAGTCATAACTACCTTCAGGTCGAGGTTTGATAGATAAGTCAGATTAAAAGACTGCTGCGACCCCTCCACCTCTGCCTGTGCTTCCAGGAATATGAATTTTAATATGGGTGGGGGGGTGTTGCTTCATTTAAAGACACATATTCATCTTTTTGCTGCCAGGTTCCAGTTAGACACTGATGGTTGGTAATCAGATCATTGTTGAGTAGAAATTTGGGATTCAGTGACCTGATAGTTAAAAAACATATTTTATCCTTCTCTTTGTTGGAACCGATATAGTGGTTGTATTAAGTTTTATTAGGTATGAGTGTATTACTCCTTTCCTTGGATGGATGGATGGATGGATGGTACTCTGATAATGGATGAATGGATGGTACTATGATAATGGATGAATGGTACTCTGATAATAGATGGATGGATGGATGG